TTCCCCAACAGCCAAGTTGCAAGTTATATGCGGATGAGAGGCTGCAGCAACACGCGGATCAATCAATAAAAATTTCAACCCTATATTCGGAATAGAGGCTACAATCAACGGGCATATGTATATGTATTCTACCAAAACGAATCAGGCAACAACAAAGGCGATATATTTTTTCATCAATTCTCACCTAAAATCCGGATAACAAGATAATATTTTTTTTCATAAAACTAGTTAAAAATTAAACCCTAAAAGAAATACCTTAAAATCTAAGATCACAGATAATATCACAGTTATAAGTTTCTTCAGATCTTGAGCTATATAGAAAAGGGTATACTTGTTCATGTGTATATTCATACTTTTCACTTTTCTTTAAATGCATATTCTAAAAGCATGTAAAAAATCCGCTAAATGCAATGGAGGCTAATGATCATTAGCACAACATAAGCTACGCTCAGTTTCAATTACTTCAGAAGAGTAGCTTGAGTACGAAAAACTGAGTGAGGGCATATATAAAAGTAGTTTGACAAGTCGACGGCAACATCTACATGCTAGTACAGTCTATCCCCGCAGTCGCGATTATTACCTTTATTTTTATATGAAAAAAAACTATAATTAAAAAGGTTAAGATTTGGTTATTGGAGCTTAAATAAATATTATGATAAGTGCAAACTAATCTAAAGAAAGTTTGAAGTAAAAATATATTAGTTTCACTTTAGTTAGTAGCGTGTAAAAACTACGGAAGAAGTAGAAAAAAAACAGATGGATAAGAAGGAAATCGGAGGAAAGTTACCTCGTGTAGATAATTAACTAAGAGAAAATGTTAAACTGCAAAAATCGGTGAATTTTGACTTTTGAATGTAGTTTAAACGGTTTTTTTCCATTTTGAAACATTAAAAGAAGTGTTTTAATGTATTTAAGGTAGACCAAAAAAAACAAAAAAAATATATATATACTAGCAGACCCGGCGAACTTCGTCCCGCCCAAAATTTTCATATATTTTATTGAAACTTTTTGGTCCAACATTTTCACCAACAATTCACGTTTACGATTTTCATTGGCACATTTGTCTGCTAAGATTAAGGTTTGGTGGTCATTTGCCGCTTTAAATAACCTAAAGAAAGTGCTATATCCGTTCTTGAAATTCTCCAGTTGTGCGGCATTTCATAGCACGGTTATGCGCAAAGCGAAATACATTTTTTCCTCTTCACTCCCTGGCGGCAACAATGACCCGGTATAGTAGGTGGCAATTTCAAATGGGTGCGAATCATTGTTCTACAGAAATGCAATATACATATACTTATTTCAGACGAAATACCTTAAAAGTTTGAACGCTTAATAATATTCGAAAATCACATCCATTGGGCCAATTGCAACGCAGGAGCGTTCTATATTCTCAATGGTGCAACAAGTCGATTTAATTTGATCTTCACGGCCCCTTTTCTCACTTGGCTATTTTTAGTAATGGCTCGACTTCAGCACCACTTGGCAGCACGTTTTTGCAATAGTATTGCATACATATTTAAAACATTAGCCAAATCGGATCATAAATAAGATTTTTAGTAATAACTCAACTACAGCGTCAACTGTCGGATTAAATTGTGAAACTAAACCATCCAGAGACCCGCTCAAATACACATAAAGTTTCATTAAAATACGTACAACCATTTAGGAGGATTTCACTCACAAACACACCTACAGAAGAATAAAAAAATTCATTCAAAGATAGTTAAGGTCGGTACGTTTGTAGGCCTCACACCCCTTTTCAAATAGCCCAAATTTTCTCCATGAGTATGGGCTTGATTTCAACTATATACATATCTCCATACGAAGTTCCAGTTTCAGAGATATGCAGTATAAAAATTCGATTTATATGGGAGGGGCCATGCCCCCCTTTCCAACAGCTGCCCTCTTTCTTCATGAGTATGCGATAGATTTCGTATATCTCCATACCAAGTTCCAGAACTCTACCATAAACACTTCCAAAGATAGGCAGTATGAAAAATTCGGTTTGTATGGAAGATGCCACACCCCCTTTTCCAATAGTTCCAATTTTGCTCCAAGAGTATGCGATTTATTTCGTACATCTCCATACAATACTCTAGAACTCTACCAAAAAATTTCCAGAGATAAGCAGTATGAAAAATTCGGTTTGTATGGTAGATGTACACCCCTTTTTACAATAGCTAAAATTTTTCTCCAAGGGTGATTTCGTATATCTCCATACCAATTTCCAAAACTCTACCATGCACACTTTCAGAGATATGTAGCATGAGAAATTCGGTTTGTATGGGAAGTGCCACGCCCCCTTTACATACAGATTTTTTTCAGCCTAAAACCATCTTTGGGACACGTGCGGCAGGTGGCAGTTTCAAAAAAATCGGTTCAGCCGCTCTCGAGCCTTGCGAAAACTAACAAACGGCTTTCTAAATATATATTAGTTGAGATATATTATATATTATAATTATATTTTGACAGTATCCGTTGTTTCAGATTGGCGCAAAAAAAATCTTGCCTAGTGACGAATTCGCCCCTTGATATGGTCGTTACTTAAAGCTATATCCAGGCAAAAAGCTACCTACGTACCGAATTTTAAGCAAATCGGACCATAAATACTATTTCTTCGAACAGATCGGTCCCTGGTCCACTTCTCGGACAAAATGGATCATATATTCTAATATATGCTAAAAAGCTACCTACGTACCGAATTTTAAGCAAATCGGACCGTAAATACGATTTTTTCGAATAGATCAGTCCCTGGTCCACTTCTCGGAAAAAATTGATGACATATGCTAATACATGCTAAAAAGCTACCTGCGCGCCGAATTTTATGCAAATCGGACAGTAAATTCGATTTTTTCGAATAGATCGGTCCCTGGACCACTTCCCGAAAAAAATGGGTCATATATGCTAATATATGCTAAAAAGCTACTTACGTACTAAATTTTAAGCACATCGGACTATAATAAGATTTTTTCGAATAGACCGGTCCCCTGGTCCACCTACCCGAAAAAAAGTAAAATTTTTTTAGCCTAAAACCAGGTGGTTACCGAAAGCTATTTGTATACAAAATCGGACTATCCGTTCGCGAGATTACCTGTTACAAAAAAAAGGGACTTCTCTCTATATAATTAGTATAGATGACAGTGGTGCACAGCTTTGGCAGAGCTCCCAATACAAGCGCAATATTTTTGTATCTGTATGTGTGTACTCAGCAAAACAGCTCGCGCATGTAATGCTTACAGCATGAAGTACAAACGCAAACTGACCGGCTGCTAGCAGCGCATAAGTTCGGTAGCTGCGCACACACGACTTGTATGTGAAAGCCGAGTAGCTCCCGGAGACTCCCGTGTGCATCACTGACATAGTTGCCACTTGGTGCTTTAGGCACTAGATTTAGTGCTTTTTGAAAATTAAAACGCTAAAAAAATTACTTAGTGCCTAGTGCCTTTTTTAGTGCTTTTTTTAATTAAAATTACTCCAAGATGGTTAAAGCCTGAAATAATTTGAAATATTATAAGCTGTGGTGTCTCATGAAGATGCGGAATTTACAAGAATATACAAATTCAAATGCACTAAAATACAACCATAATTGATAAAAAGCTGAAGTTGCAAACCCACCTTGTTGAAAATGCTATTACGCAGGTAAGTTAAGTATTTATTTGTTTCTT